TCTTTCCTTCCTCTTCACTCTCTTTTCTTTTTGCTTCACGTTGCCGGTATACTCTCTCTTTCTCCCTTTGACTGTCGTCCCCCATCTTCCTCTCTCTTTCTCTTTTTCTCTCATTTACTCTTTCTTTTTCACGCTCGTCTCGTCTCGCCTCGCCCGAGCTCGCGGCAAATCACGCTGGTGTTCTCCATCCGTTCGTCCTACATGCCTCCTACCACAGATTACAGGCAGAATGCAGGCAGCCTTCCACAGTTTCTCACCTCCTTCTATATTCCCTCCACTCTTTCACCTGCGACGAGTTGTACTCTCTATCTCTTTTCATTTTCTTTCCCTCTTTCTCCTATTTCCTCTCTTTCTATCTCTATAATTCTATCTCTCTTACTTGAGGCCTCATTCCGATTGGACCAAATTCGTTACGCACGACCAATCACCTTCGATCACTTTTCTCAATATGAATACATAGCTATTGTCCTCCATATATATTCAAATTTATTTATGTATTCATTTTTCTAATTTCAATTACTATTTTCTTGGTAAAGCTTATGTCGAATTTTGTAAAAATTTTTTTTTTTATCTAACTTCGATCTTACAATTAATATTAAATAGAAACGATTAATGTCATTAATTTTATCTTTCTTACAGCTCCATGCTTACCACTATTTGTAAGCATTGAAATATTCGATGATTATTTATCAGAATACATTGCTACGTTAATTACGATATGAATTATGTATAAATGTATCGGTAAATGTATATACTAACGTACAACCTCGAGTATGAATATTGATACATTACTTACATGTTGTGTTATACCAATGGGAAAGGATAAATTAATATCTGTCGTATAATTTATAAAAATCATAGAAACATTTGATATTTTTAACCTCAATCTAATTACATAGAACATAAATGTCGAACCAGATTTAACAAAATAGATTTGAAATTATAGTTTACAAAGATGAAACATAAAAAAATTAATAGAAGAATATTATGAATTTTTTTAAATTATTGAAAAATTAGAAATATGTTACATTTTATAAATTTATAATTATCAATCATTTAAATGGTAAAGTAATTATTATAAATGCGAAAATTGCGAAATATTCGCGCGATCAATTAAATTCATCCAATTTAAAAATTTCCATAATTGATAACATCCAGTATCGAATGTATTATATTACCGTATCGTAACTTATATCGATTCGTAGGTATTTGTAGAGAAATTTATATTTGTCGCGTTGAAACTAATGCAAAACGCTATCTTGATTTGTACGTTCGATTTAGAGTCTTCGACAGCTACAGCTTCTCGAGTTTGTAAGTTTAAAACGCGCATGCGCGGTAACAGCGTGCGCGCATCCGTAAACACACGGACCCTTTAAAAATGCAGGAAGGTGCAATTTTAGCCATGCTATTCGTGTCCGATCGTTCGTTTCATAATCTCCGTTTAAGTTTCCAACGAATCAGCTAGAGGTTATCTGCGTTTTATAATAATAACGGTATGTTATTTTTTTTTTTATTTAAAAATCAACAAATCTTTATTATATCGAATAATTGATTCCTATCAATGGAGATTTCTTGAATCTTGATTTACAATAATAGCCGAGCGTATGGTGGATCGTAAAAAATACTAACTTCTATGTACGTAATCATTGATCGTAAAATTTACACTCGATATCTTTTTCTTAACCAGAATATTTATTGATTGATTTATAAAAGAGTTCATTATTTTTCGTATAAAAATGTATTTAATTAGAAATAATACAAAATTTGTGTTCTATAATTTTTAAATGTCACGAAATGATTTAGTATTTTTTTAAGCTAAGAATGTAACGATTAATTTTAATCAATTGAGATGCTTACAATCTTAGTTAACGATAATAATTCTAGTACGTGCTGTAATACAGAGAATACAGATTCGCGTTCCATAATAATTGTTGATCGTCAAAGTCATTTGAGTACGTGGCATAAGAAAAACGTGAGTAGATCGAGCGATTCGTCGTTAGAAAGAATGAAAGAAAGAAAGAAAAAAAAATAAAAAGAAAGAGGAGGAGAAAAAAAGAGAGAGAGCAAGAAAAAGAGAAGAAGATAGAGATAGTGAGAGTGTAGAGAGTAAGAGGTGGGGCGTTCTCGGTCGCGAAGTGAGCGCGTTAGGTTTTGTAAAAAAGAGAAAGAGAGAGAGAATGATAAAATACGAGAAAGAAAGGAGGGACGGGAGTAGGACGACGACGGCATCGAAATTTCATGCGTCGAGAGGCGGGTGAGAGAGACAGGGTCAGTGGCTGGTCTCTCGTCGTTCGAAGGAGGCACCGGTGGCGCCACTGTCGAGGCCGGCGGCCGAATCGGTAAGCACGCGGCCGGCGCACGAGTCGCGTCAAGCGCCGCCGCAGTCGCGCGCTTGCACTCTCAGCGGTGAGCGGAGTCTTTTAACGTGCGTAACACATAATACACACGGAACGCCGGACACGTCTCTCTCACAATCAGTGGTACATATACATATATATATATATATAAACGCGAAAATCATACGGCATATATATACAAACACACATACATATATATGTATATATATATACTACGTGAGCCTATGTTGTGTACATAAAAGACGCGCACTGGTGGTAAACAAACACACATTATTATACATGTATATTTAAAGACACACATATACACACATGCATCTACACAAAATATACATAATACAAAATTATCAATATATTTTCGTGAAGTTTTCATTGCTCCGTACGCAAGCACGCAAGCACGTACGCACGTACCCACTAGGGTTGGAAAATAAAGAAGAGGCGTGTTAGTTTTCTTCATAGTTCCCTCCTTCAAAATCGACGTCCCGTGAGAGGCCCGAATCGTGTACGCGTGCTGTCCCTCTCTTTCTCGTCATCGTATCGTCATTGTCGTCGTCGTCGTCGTCGTCGTCGCCGTCGTCGTCGTCGTCGCCGTCGTCGTCGTCGTCGTCGTCGTTGACGTCGTCGTCATACTTCTCGTCGTCGTAGTTGTCGGTGTCGTTCAGAGGAACGAGAGGCTAAAGAGAAAACCTCTCCCGCGGTGTCCTCGTCGTGTGTCGTGTCGTTGTCGTTGTCGTCGTCGTCGTCGTCGTCGTCGTCGTCGTCGTCGTCATTGTTGTTGTTGTTGTCATCGTCATCGTCGTTGACGTCGGGCGCGCTCTGCGAGAGAAAGAGAGAGTGAGAGAGAGAGAGAGAGAGAGAGAGAGAGAGATAGCGACACGGCCGGTGTGACAAGGACAAGTACATAAAACGTTGTTAAAATAGAAGAGAAGAAAGCAGACTGAAGGAGAGAGAAAGCAAGACAACGAGACTACGAGATTCGGAATCGACGTGTTTTCATAAAAAAATAGAAATTAAAACGAGCGACAAAATTACATTTAATAAAAAAAGTGGTAGAAAGGGATAGTTGTTTCTTTACGCGTAGTTTGATTATTTCAACGACACGGTTAATGCGGCTTCTTCATTTTTCAAAGTTCATCTCTTCTTGGGTGTGTGTGTATGTGTATAAAAAATCTAAGAATTAGGATTAAACCAAGGATAAGAAACAGAAGAAGAGGATAGAAGAAGAATACTAATAATAATAATATTAATAATAATAATAATAATAATAATAATAATAATAATAATAATAATAATAGTGCCGTGCTTACACGTGTTTTGTACAGTGTTCAAGTGTTAACCAATCACAGGGAGCGGGAGGAGAAAGACACGGGTGGACGACAGCCAATCATCTTATTTCTTCTTAAAATTACGGACAGTGTTGGTCTCGCGGGCTGTTAAGATTTCACTCTGGATACGTCGTTATGTGAGTTAAATCCATATTTAGATTTTATTACATTAACATTTCTCTTTTTTAATTTGCACGCAACATTACCACGATTATTTCTTCACATTTTTAATTATTTTATTACTTCTCTTTTTATCTGTCATCTTTTTAATTTCTGATTCTTTTCTAAATATCTGTTAATTTTTATTTTTTTTTGGTAAGAATGTCATTCGTGTTTACGTGCTAACGAGAGTGGTGAGGTAGGTTTGCGAGTGCGAATGCGTGCAAGCTGAGAAAGAGAAAGAAAGAGAGAGAGAGAGAGAGAGAGAGAGAGAGAGAAAGTGTAAGGTGTTCGGAAAGGTAAGGAAGGGCAAGGAGGGAAAGGATCGTTCATTTGACGATGAAGGTCCATTCGGCACCACGCGGACCGCCCATTGGCGCGTCGTCTCGTGTTCCAGAGACTTACTCGACTCTCTCTCTCTCTCTCTCTTTCCCTCTTACCTTTTGTAGATGCATACACACACATATATATACAGAAATATACTTGGAAGATACTTGTGTATACTATGTATGTAAGTAATGTGTGCTACCGACTTTGAATCCTTTTTGAAGGTCCTTCGTTTTTTTTTTTTTTTTGGTTTGAAAAAGGTTGTTCATTTTTGAACATTGTCGTTATACATATATAAGCTATAAAGGACCTTACAACAGTTTAGTCAATAAAGTATATAAAAATATAATTTTTGGTAGTCTTCTTTGGTTGAAGCGTCTCTCCAAAATACATTAACATTTACGGTAACTAATAATTATAATCTTAAGCTCTACATATTGCAGTCTGTTATGAGATCATCGAGTATAGTAATGAAAAACTAAAACATAAAAAACCATTACATATTTGGCAAGCCTCAAGGGCAAAGGGGGGGTAGAGAAGGAAAAGGATTGGAAGATGAAGAGAACATATATACAATATTTACATTATTTACAACTATAGCTAAAGAACACAGTGTCTAAGGCACATTCTGTAAAATTATTATAGATAAAAGGTTCTTCGTCAAGCGGTATTGATGCGGTCTATATATTTTCTCTTCAATGAATTTCTTCCACAAATAAAATGATCTAATGCGAAATAAGATGGCCTCGAGTTAACTTTCCATAATTAAATTGAAATTAATTTATACTGCATATATATATAAATATATATATATATATGTGTGTATA